TTTCTTTCTTTCTTTCTGTATCTTTATTGATGTCAGAGAGAGAAAGGGAAAGGGAGAGAGAGACATAGGAACATCAATGATTAGAGAGTCATTGATTGGCTGCCTCCTTCACTCGCTCCACTGGGGATCGAGCCTGCAACCCGGGCATGTGCCCTGACCGGGAATCGAATCTCGATCTCCTGGATCCTAGGTCGATGCTCAACCGCTGAGCCATGTCAGCTGGGCTCCACTGACAATTTCTTACATCCCTGTGATCACTGGTGGAGGTAGCTCTGATTCTGCTGTATCCTAGTGTGTCACCCCACCACCTCACTTGTCTTTTCGAATCTTGGTTTCTTTTTTCTTAAAAATTAATATAATAATGATCTATCCTATGTACCTCACAGGGATTTTGTAGGAATCAAATGAGATAAAGGTTGTAAATATAATATTGTAAAGTAGTAATTCTTTTGATTACGAATTGGCCATCATTTCTCATAGATTTTTCTGTATCTACACAGTCCTCTCATAGGACTTGATCATATTTGCCCTCATGGTTCTCCTGGGTTCCAGGCAGACCTGGCTTGTCCCTCTGACTGAACATAAGGCTTTCTAAGTTTGCAAAAACTAGGCGAGGACTATGTTTTCTCTTCTTTCCGATCCCCCGTGGCTCTGAGCACAGTGTCTTACAAGTGAAAGTGCTCAGGACATGTTTGCTGATGTGTCCGATGATTAGAGCACCGATCTGCCGGCACTGATGAATTGTGCTTCCCCACCCACCGAGCTAGGGCTTAGAGAAAAGAAAGGGGATTGGCAATCACAAAAGTCTTGGCTCTGCCACTTATTGCCTGTGTGAATCTGGACCAGTGAACCCGTGACTTTTGTGGTCTGGTAAAATGAAGTCGATTAACAACATTACCTGCCTCATGGGGTTGCTGAGAGACCCAAGCACTTAGCAAGTGCTTGGTGTTAGCTATTGTTATCATTAAGAGGCTTAGAGATAATGTAGACAACTGCTCAGTACGTGGGAATGCATTATTAGGTGTCCTGGCTCTCCATGTCTCTGGAACCCAGACAGATCTTTCCAAAGAAGTCTGTTTCCTTTTTGGTTTGCTTATACTCAGCCCTGAGGCAATGGTTGTTTAGTGAACTAACCAGATCATGAGGTTTCCATCCAAACCCCACTCTGCAAGTGGTACTGTAAAGTCAGATGACATATACAGATTGTCTTCATGTCTGCCCTTCTGCCTGACTCAGGGCCCCTGGCTTCCTCACCTCCCTCCTGGTCCAGTTCAATGCAATTTAATTTAACGATCATTTACAGAGCACTGTTATATGCCAGGTGCTGCACTGACCCTGGAGGTACAAAGAGAAATAAGTAGCTTATCCCAGGGGACTCCCAGCTCCCAGCTCACTGCCATTTAACCTGGTACCTGCACCCCTCCTCATATGTAAAGGCCCCAGGGGGAGCAGCTGCAGCTATGAATTCCCATCCCTCCTTTGATGCCCTGGGCTGAGTCCCTTATCCTCCTAGACCATCAGTTTCTCCTCTGTAAAAAAACCCACAAAAAACAGTGTTGATTTTGATCATAGGTAAACATCCCTTCTTACAAAAAGGCCAATTTAGAAAAAAATTCATGTTTATGGAAAACATATTAAAATGAAAACAGTTTAATTGAGTGATGTGCAGTAGGAGCTTGTAGGTGGGTGGAAATACTTTGAAAACCAGAACGGGATCTACAATGGTCTGTTTCTTGCCATCAATAGAGTTGCTATGAGACAAAATCTGCAAAGTGACTTTGCCATCAGGTTAGGCTACTGTCTGCAAGCACTTTGGCAGTTGTGGGGGAGTGGAGTTTAATATGTTGTTGGGAGACAATTTTCCATGGGTTTCTTGGATTTATGCACATCTTGTGAGTGAGGCACTATCTGCCCTTTTGTTTTAGGCTATCTTTTTAAGGATATTTGTACAGTGAACAGCTTTGGAAGATAGAAAGTGTTTGTCTCCTCCAGAACAGAGGGCAGACATGCTTACTGGCCAGTAAAAAAGATTCAGGTTCCTGCCCTGGCTGGTGTGGGAGGGGTGGTTGGGCATCGTCCCGTGTACTGAAAGGTTGCTGGTTAGTTGCTTGTTTTTGTATTGGTCAAAGACAGGTAAGTGGCTTTTTGGTACGTTCTCACTGTTCCATACGGAGCCTTATCTAATGCAAAGCCCTACTGGGTTAGAACCATACCCCTACTCTGTGTTCTCAAGTAGAAGAGCTCAGAAGCTGAACAGGGACATCCCAACCCCCTAAACTGCTTCACAATTCATGATTAAGATGGATCCCCTGCAGGACTTCCTAGAGCAGCCAACTAACACATGCCTTCTGAAGGTGCTAACTGTGGGAACGTTTGGTTTGAGAAGTTCAATCCAGATGGAATTTGTCCAGCTTCACACTGAAATTACAAGCTTCCTGACCTCTGTCCCAGCCTGTCTGGGTCTCATGAGCTTTTGAGGAATGGTCAGGCTTTGGACAGACGCCATTTGGAAGCCCCAGCCTTCTCGGGTTAAAAACTCTACATGGATTTACATGGAATTTCTCACCCCACTGGTAGAATAAAACTGGGAGGTTCCTGCATTTATGAAAGTGGAGATCAGTTCACACCCCCTACCTGGGTAGCTTGGATGTTCACATTTCCTTCTCTTAAGAGCTTCCAAACGACAGCCATGTCTTCATCGGTCTCCGCAGAAGCCAAGGGAGTGATCATCACAGCGGTATAGCCAGCTTTGTTCTGATGGTCCACATTGCAGACGCCTGCAAGAGAAGCAGTGAGCGCTGGAATAGCTCCCGCGGGGCCAGAAGCCAGACTGCCTTAGCCTGTTAACAGGATGCTGCTGGTTAAAATGCAATACAGCAATCCTTTCCCAGGGATGGAAATCGATGTTTTATATTTTTAGCAACCTTTAAAACTGGCTACTTTCTTCACAGGTTTTCTGAGGATACCCAGCAAGGAAGGTCCACAGCAGAATCAGAGATGGTGGAGGGGGCCCATGACCATGACTTATCTCCTCAAGTGGAGCACAGAAGTTATTCTCATATTACAGATGAGGACACTGACGGTCAGGGAAGCTACTTCCAAAGTGAAGGTGAAGGTGAAGGTGGGACCAGGACTCAGGCCTATCTGACTCTAGAGCCCATCACTCACCTGACCACATATTGCCCACAGCTGTGCATCTTCAGTTTTACTCTCTGTGTCTGTATAACTCTTAAGCTGATGGCTGTGTTTGTATCTTTCCAAGGTCTAGTGATATGCTGTGCAGTGTGCCAGGGGTCATGAAAAACGCCACAGGATAAACATGGGAAATCTTTAGGAACAACCGTCTCACTTGAAAAACAAAGGGAAGCCCTGGCCCGTGTGGCTCAGTTGGCTCAGCGTCATCTCATGCACAGAAAGGGTTGCAGGCTCGATTCCTGGGGGGATTCACGCGGGAGGCGGCCTATCGATGCTTCACTATCACATCGATGTTTCTCTCTCTCTCCCTCCCTTCTCTCTCTAAAAAAAAAATAAAAAGAAAAACAGAAAAATAATTCTGTAATTTTTTTATGTTAAAACAATCAAGGATATACATTTCATAACAATTTAAAAAATTGGCTTATTGTCTCTTTCCAGCACTGATTATCCGTCTCCTATCCTCTCCTACCACCCATTTCCCTCTGGTAATCACTATACTGTTATCTATGAGTTTTTTGTTTGTCTGTTTTTGCTTAATCTCGTCACCTTTTTCACAAGTCCCTCTACCCCCGCCATGGCCTTTGTTAAAGGTACTTATGAAGATGGTAATATGTGACCTTTCCTAGAGGCAATGGGTATAGCTCTGGAGTTAGGCTGAATGCAAAGTCTGACTCCACCATGTGCCAGCACTGTGGCCTGAGTGTGTCCTCAGCTGCAGCATGAGCGTAATAATACGCGTATCACCAGAGTATGGTGAAGAAGGAATGACATGACACAGGCAGAGCGGTCTGGCCGGGTTCCTAGCACGCAGAGGACCTCAGAGCAGAAGAATCCCCTCGCTGGAAAGAAGCGAGGACAAGAACCGCCCTTCCAGGAGGGACCCAGAGCCCAGACGCAACCATTTCTGACCTGTCTCCAGCAGCAGCTTGACGATGGAGAAGTTGGAGTGGGACACGCTGTAGTGAAGGGCTGTGTTCCCGTTTCCATCGGCCAAGTTGACAAGCAGCTTTAGGAAGTGTGGGGAGTGAGGCCGGAGGTAGGCGGCCACCACCGCGGGACTGGACGACTTCCGGCTGGAGACACGGAACCACTCTTGACTGATGGCGTTCAAGCTCTGCCTCTGAAACACCGAAAGAGTCCAGTCCGGGAGGTTATCTGGCCTGGGTGCTCCGGCTGCGTGTTAGTTTCTACTGGGAAAAGTCAGCTGTGGGTGCTTCCGCCTCTAGTCCTTTGCTCCCTCCAACTCTCCAAGTGACCTCCTCCTGGAGGGCTCGGAGCTGGTGGGGTTGGAGGTGCAGCAACATGCCTACTTTGAACCTGTGTGAGGCTCCTTCCCCAGGTGAGGCGGAAGGAGAACTGGGAGCACAACACAGTGACTGGTAACAAAGCACTTCACGGGGTGACCATCTGAGCCTACTGTAAGTTTAGGTCACATCCCTGTATGCACAGGATGACCCAGGCCCTCTCTTTCCTGTACCTACAGCCAGTCTATTTTGCCCTTAGCCCAGACTCCACCAGGACATTTGCGTGTTTTCTTTCTTTTTCTTATGATTATTTTTTTGTTAACCCTCACCCAAGGACTTTTTTTCATTGATTTTTAGAGAAAGTGGAGGGGGGGAGGGGGGAGAGACAGAGAGAGACAAAAACATCCATGTGAGACCACATATCCCGAATGGGGCTGGGGACCAAACCTGCAGCCCAGGTATGTGCCCTTGACCAGGAATCGTACCTGCGGCCCTCTGGTGTGTGGGCCAACGCGCTAACCACTGATCCATGCCGGCCAGGGCCATTTACGTGTTTTCAGCAGACATAGATGGAAAATCACAACATTTTACTAATTGGAGAAATGCATGCTGAAAGCTAAGGCAAACAACATAACTAACTTACACTAGAAACAAAACCCAACATCTGTGCTTGAATTATTTTTGGCTTTTTAGCTTTGCTAGGACCTTCAGAGAAAACAGTGGCAGGACCCCACTCTCTACAGTGTTCAGCTCTGTGGAACCGTGAATGAGGAGAGTTCCAGAGCAAATGACATCAACTCTGTATGTGACATGACCTCAGTGTTTAACATGGAACATGGTTAGATTATCTACCTATGGGAATGTATCAGAAATTATTTCACACTCATTTTGGAAAGAGCACTGAATTTGGAGTCACTAAACCAAGGGTGGGGAACCTTTTTTCTGCCAAGGGCCCTTCGGATATTTATAACATCATTTGCAGGCCATACAAAATTGTCAACTTAAAAATTAGCCTGCTATATTTGGTCAAACATTTAATTAACTCACTCCTAATGTGATGGCTGGGACTGCTGCTCTTTGGTGAGGCCTTGGCAGGGCCAGACCAAATGATTTTGCAGGTCATAGAGGGCCCATGGGCCGGACGTTCCCCACCTCTGCACTAAACCAATGTGGCCACGTGTAAGTACTGGCTCAGTTGTATGACCTTGGAAGTCATATAACCTTTTGAACCTTACTTGCCTTGTCTACAAAATGGGGGTGCAACCTCCCAGGGCTCTACAGAGCAAGGTCCTTGTACAACCTGCTTTTTCTCTAAGGTAGGCTGGCGGGGGTCTTGTGCTCTGATCCTAACATGGGTATGGTGTCGGGTTTGCATATCCTCTAGTCACTTTTCTAGGCAGAAACAGTGGAAACTTTTGTGGCTGAAACACTTTATTATATAAAGTGTCCTAGTCACCTATGGAATCTTTAGGACGATCAGAAAAAAGATCCTAATAGTAAGGAACATAGCGGTAGATTTTAAATGGAGAACTAAGAAATAACTTAATTCTGTAATTCACTTAGGAGTAAGTAACAGGAGTTTTAATCAACATCCATATCACTTATCGGTTCTTTAACAGTCTGAGAAGAGTTATTTGCCAAATCAGCTAAGATAAAGTAATGCAAAGGGGCTGAATGGATCTTCTTTACTCCTATAGTTCTTCCGCAAAGAAGAAAATGGGCTTTGAAAATGCTTGCAAGTTGTCACACATTGGATCTTATCAGCTGCTCCCATAACTTGTATCTTGATTAAAAGTAGAACCCAGTTGTTACATGTTGAAATCTCCATGGGCCATAAAGGGGTCAAGGAGCAAACAGATGTAGTTACTTGCTCTTGGTCTCTTGGCCCACAGGTACACTTCAAGAGAAAGAGCAAAGACTATAGAATTAAATGCCGGGTCTTGAGGGTAATTGGAGACATGCTGCCCACCACCCTTATTTTATTAACGGGGAAACTGAGGCCCTGGGTGTTGAGCTGGCTTGCCCAATATCTCATAGATAGTGCTCCTGGGACTAGAACCCAGGGTTGCTATTCCACATGCTCTTTTCCACTCTCCCCATAGTTTGCTCAAACTGCAAGGCAATTTTGAGCCTAAGTCACAATTTTATGACAGACATCCAAGGTGCAATGCCTATTAACCCTTGGTAGGAGCCCCTGAGAACCAGGCCTGCTTTCTTGTGCGTATCCATCAGTTCCACTTTCTCAGCATGATACATCACCTTAGGCAAGGGACAAGGGTTTGGGCAAATGAGAGAGCACCCAGAGGACAGGGACTCCTGTGCACACACTCACACTTCTGCCTCAGGCAATGTCACCCAGTTGGAACTAACTGCTGAAACAGTATGGGAATCTACATGACAATGAAAAATCAGAGTACCAAGAGTTGGTTGGTGGTGGTCCCAGTTTCTGGCAGATATTGGCTCAATGCCCGGCATGCATTAAGAAATTCTTCAGAGGGTTTATATCTAAAGAAAAAAATAGATGTATCAGTCTCCATGTTGGTAAAAAGAAAAAAAAGGGGGGGGGGAGAGGTTATTCTCTACCTTGACTTCCATTCTCAGCAGTACAAACACCCAAACTGGGCAACTTCCCAGGATAGGAGGCATTCCTCAGAATATGGGGTGAATACTGTGTCCTGCTGATGAGGTGTGGCTTCTGAGCTCCTCTGAAGAGTTGAGCACACTGCCCTTTTTCTATGCTTAGTTCTACCATTCATCGAGAGCTCCTATGGGGCAGGCACTACGCAAGGCACTGTACATGAAGGCACTGTACATACGTCTCTTCATCCAGACTTGAGATCAAACATATCCAGTTGCTGTTATCTACATTTTACAGGTTAAGAAGCTGAGGTGAGCACAGTTTAAGTGCCATCTAAAGTAGCACTGTGCAGATGAAGGATTTGAATCCAGGTGTGCCCAACTGTAAAGTACTCTTTTCATCCTGCTACGAGACCTCCCATCACTTCAAAACAGTTACATCAGCATAGCCAATGGGAGAGGCAGAACAGTGTGGGGGTAAGAATGAGAAAAGACCTGGCCGGAATCCACTCTGCTAGCTGTGTCATTGAACTTCTCTAAGCCTCTGTTTCCACACCTGTTAAGTGGGGATTATAAACATTTCTAACATACAAGATTGTTTTTACAATTATATAAGATAATATATGTAATATATCTTATAATATATAAGACAACAGTGCTAGGTCAATGTTAACTTTATATGCAGAGCTCAATCTGTGACAGTACATCCCATGAAGGCAGAAGTTACATCTGTTTAGTTCAACCAGTGCACAGTACCTGGCATAGATTAGAAACAATAAATACTGGTGAACGAATAAACAAAGGAACAGGTGATTGATTAAGAGGATGAATAAGTGCCCTGTCCTTTCTCAGAGGGTCAAGGGTCCCCACCTACACCCATATGACTCACCTCTCAGCCTTGGGAAGGGGGAGTTCTTCTCCAGGCCCTCTTTCCTGGCCCGGGTTGCAGGTACCCTCGGAGATGCCTTGCCCCACCTTGCAGCCAGGCTGGGCATCCCTGCCCCGCCTATGTTCTGGGCCATCACATTTCTTCTCAGCCTCGCTGTCAGACAAGTCTTCTGGGGAGCTGTCCTCTCCGCTGGTCTCCTCACTGGAGGTGGTCTCGTAGCTGGGAAAGGAGAGAGGTCACTCGTTCCATGCTTTCTGCCCAATGCCCGTGTCAACAAGAATGAGACCTAGGTGGGCTTCAGATAGCATTTCCCAGCTTGCTAACCATACCCTCCCATTCTCTATACCTTCAGGCCTGGACAAGGGGCTCCCAGGAACCTTGGCATCAGAGAAAAGTGCAGTTAAGAGCTCTGACTCTAATGCCAGAGGCCATTTGGGGAGAAAAGATAATTAACAAAGGTCTTTGCAGCAAACACACGTGTCCTAATTGACCAATGCATTCGGATGATGCAGACAGGCAATCCAAGGTTCTCACGAAAGCAGTTGCTGTTGGAATCCTAATCTCTGTCCAGAGAAGGGCCCACATCTCGGTAAATGTTTCCCATTCCCCACGCTCAGATTTCTGAATTGCCCGACAAATCTTCATGTCCTTGGGTGGCTGTGAGATTTCCCTTTAGCTCCCTGTTCTAGCCCAGCTTCCACTCAGTCAAAGAAGAAATCATCTGTGTCTACCACCAGTCGGGATAACTGAACCCAGCATTTGCCTTTCTCAGCTGCAGCCTATTTCAACTATTGCTTGGAAAAGCGAAGTGAGGACATGGGCCGCCACTTCACCCGTGGTCCCTGCTTTCCAGCTATAATCCTTACTTTCAATTATATGCAACTCTATTGAGGTGGCAGACCAGAGACCATGGAGGAAAGTCCTGGAAGATTTATTGATTCCTGTGCTGATGGTCAACAGACCTCCAATGGATGAAGATTTCAGGCTTCAGGGCCGCTAGACACTGCCACAGAGACCAGGGGAGACCAGCAGCCACGGCCTCTACTGAACCCCTCGTGCCCTTCCTCTGAATGATGGCCCCTGTGTTCACTGCATTTGCAAATCCAGCCTGTTGCTTGGTATGCTCACATTCTTTCTTGTTTTAACCCTAGATATTTCTTCCTCTGTTGTGCTTGGAACAACCTTTTGCTTTTGCAATTAAAAAAGTAGGGGATATAATATGTTCACCAAGCAGTTCTCATCTTCAAATTGTTTCCATAAAAACTTCACCTGGAAGTTCATTTATTCATTCAACAGAAATTTACTGAGCACCTACTATGTGCCCGGAATTGTTCTGAATGCTGCACCAAAGTCCATGTCCTAACTGAGCTTATATTCTAATAAGGAGAGGCAGAAAGTAAACATGTATACAATATATTCAGATAGTAAATACTGAACGTTGAATAAAATAAAGGGCCATGAGCTAGAATGACGGGAGGAAGGACTACTTTACTTCGAACAGTTTTTAACCTTGGCTGCACATTAGAATCACTTGGGGGAGTTTAAAATTCCCAATACTACACTCCAGACTAATTAAACTGGAGTCTTCAGGGAGAAGACCCAGGCACTGCTATTTTTTAAGGTTTTCCGCAGCATTTCCAAGGTGCAGCCAAGGTTGAAAAACACTGGTAATGGAGCACTTTAAGGGGGTGTGGTGGGGGGTAGCAGATGCAAAGGCCCCTGACATGGGCCTTACTCGGCACATTTGAAGGAGCCAGAGGTAGGGGACCTGCTTAGACTTTGGGATTGGGCTGGTCCTCCTTTTCTGTACATGGACTGGTGAAAGCTCAACACCAAATGGTGTTTCCTCAGGCCACAGTGTCTGACGTTAGCAGGAGGGGGAACAGCAACTCTCCTATGACCCCATTTCATCGTTTCTGACGTTTCCCTCACAGAACGTGCAGCAGTAATGTCCCTGTTGCTTGAATCTGGTGTCTTCCTTCTGGTCCGACCCAAATTACCAAGGGTTCTGACCTCTTTTGGGCAGCTTCCCA